CGATTTTAACATGATAAATATCAAGATTAGTGTCCAGCATTGCTGAGTTACAAGAATCATACTACTGTCTAGGTACAGAGAAGACATTCGATAAACAGTTTTTGTGTCTACTATTTTAATAAATTATAACCAAAGAAAAAAATAATTGTGATTATCTAAAAAAAAATTTTTATGGTCTTTAATGCAATTTTTTATATTAAAAATAACCTTTAATTTCACCAATTGTTGTTTACGTACAAAGTCTCTACAGAAAAAAAAAAAAAAAACCCCATGGACCAGAGGGGTAAACGTCACGCGTTCCCCGGAAAATTAGGACGCTAAGAGCCCTGCGCTTACACTTGGAAACGCACATATAAATACATGTACACAGTACAATGCAACACAATGAATCTCCAGCGCTGCTTTTGTGTATTTTGGATATAGCCGGCCGTTTCTCTTCGTCGGCACACACAACCGCGCCCGCAGCATCGATTTAGCACCCGTGTCATTGTACGCCGCTGCAGCACTGCAGAGAGAGAGAGAGAGAGAGAGTGGGTACCGAATTCTAGAAAGGAGGAGCTGAAGCCCAACACCACGCACCCACCAATGTGTACCCACGTCCATGTATTTTCGGGAGACCCAACAAAATCAGCATCCAGAGTAAGTGTATATATATGGGAAGGGCCCGCGCACTCGCAAACGGGGCGCCCTTGTTTGTACACATCCTGTTCATTGTGGTCCTGTGTATATGTATATAACTACGCCAAACGTATACACGAGAGTCCTAATGGTGCGCGTATGAAGGAAAAAAAAAAAATACTCAGGTACACGTGCACGTCAACGTAACACGGCAAGTTAGTACCTATTACGTTATGTGGAGCAAAAGGGACTTCCGGCCGATACTTTTATTCTNTCTAAAAAAGCAATCCTTTTATTATTAAAAAATCCCAAATAAAATATTTTAAGAGTAAATTAGAACATAATTTGGAAAATAACAATTTTTTTTAATTCATCCGCTGATTGATAATTTTTTTCGTATAAAGAATCCGTAAATTTTCCATCCTTAGTTTCTTTTGTTGTTTGTCTGTTTTTGTTCCTTCTCATATGTACATTTAGGGCTAAATAATTATTCACAAGTTTTATATCAGAAAATTCGTATAAAAAGTATTAAAACGTAAACTTCATTTTTGAGGTTTATTGTACCACGTTAACCATCTTAAAATTAAACCATCACAAAAAATCATCATGATTAAAATGTTTATAAATTAGAAATCATAAGCACGTACACAATCTTTTACAAAAATAAGCGCATAATAATACATGTACCTCATTCGTAGTATGGAGTAACTACAAAAGCTTTTCAGTCAATGAGAAGGCTTAATTGATACCGATGATAAACACGCATTGATGATTAAACCTCAATTCAAGCCACGGATATTTTATTTTTTTTCCAGTGCACAACGATTAAAGATATAAACATATTGATAATAAGATTAATCTAAATAGTCGACCAATAATAGTAATAAAACTGATGAAATAATTATCTTAATGACAGTAATTATCAAACCTTGCCTCGTGGTGCTACCACATTAATTGACAAAAATAAAACTTAGATGATTTATAATGGTGATAGAGATAGCGATCTATCTTTAGAATTTTTTTTTCTTTCTTAAAATATCAGAAGCGATAAAATTTTCACGTATACAATGATGCTACGTAGATATTGAAGCATTTGTGATTTTTTTTTTTTGAAAATCTCAAATGGTTATAGAAAGAAAGTAAACCTTCTAAACGACTTCCAAGGTGACTATAGAACACATGTATAACAGAAGCAGTCGCTCGTGGCTACGAAAAAAAATGCTGAAGAGAAGCGAAGGAATTTTGAAATCCCCCCGTAAGTAAATCAATCTGTCGAGCTGACGTTATGTCGAGAAAAATAAAAAGAGACAACACTGCTAAGCCAAACGTCTGTGTTTACTTCAGTAACGATTTCTATATCATCGGTCCCATCTTCTTCACTCTTCGGGTTCTCGTCCACGAGAGCAGGCGAGGCATACGTTATCTGGAGAGTAGATTCCAACCTCGTAATGTGTGCACGCGCGACACGTTTCTGTGCCGACTTTACTGTGGTGTTTAATTAATAACGATGGTAACAATCAGTTGCAGTTCATTTTGCGGAGCAATTACTTGGCCATCCATTGTTTTTCATAGCAGTAAGTATTTGTATATTTAATAAACAGTTCACAAAAACTTTTAACTATTTTGTCATTTCCTCGTGCTGGTAACTCTTTTCGAAAATTTATATAAAGTTTTTTAGTTTTTGACGGTTACAGAATTTTGCACCGGCTTTTGCTCNAAAACAAAAAAAAATGTTTTAGAACTATCACAATTAATACATTAAAAAACGTTTTTTAATGTATTGGTTGTGACAGTTCTAAAAAATTTTTTTTTTAATTCACAAGAAAAATAATTTAGAAAAAAAAATTTTCAAAATATGTAAAACATTATTTAAACACTTTGCAATCAACTTTAGCATGTTAAATACATCTCACTTATCTGCTAGAAAAACTTTATTGTTTCTTAATACGATATTATAAATGATAATGCTTAAAAAATTTTCCCACTAAATAAATGTACTTAGTTTAGGAAAAAATTCATAGAATAATTACACCCAAGTATAGGCTTTTGGCTGTAGTATCGAGAAATATTCTTATGTGATTTTAGATAATAGCTTCTCTGTAATTTTCATATCGCATAAAATAATAGTTTGGATAAATTATGTATACTTTTTCTTCGAATACATTATATGTTTCTTCAATTATTTTTCGATTATCACCAACGAATAGTTTCATACAAAACAAGTGTAGTAAATACTCTTATGTTCATAAGAATAAGAAAAATAAAAAAACAAAATAATTGGCTTATGCATTAGTCAGCGAAGGATTAGTAAAGGGTTTGACATTTTCGAAAGTCAAATCCAAAAACAAAGCAAGAAAACGTTAAATGAAATCAGATAGCAGAAACTAACAAAAAAATATATAAAAACGATTATCTTATCTACTATGGCGGCGCCAATACAAATATTTAGTCAGAGATAAAAAATGAGTGGAAGTCACATATATCTTTATCTCAGGAAATCTTGCTGGAACTTTTACAAAAATCAAATAACTCAGTTACACCAAGACAAGTTGGATGCACTACAATGACGCATCACATACTGATATGTAAGATACTGAGCGTTAATTCGCTCCATCATCAATAAAATTCGTTTCTTTTTTTTTCGTTCGAATACTTAATATTTAAACATTTAACGCTAGGGCCAATGCACAGCTGGTTATGGACATGTTTTCTCTGTTTGAAAATAAATTTTAACTTTACCACACGATTTTGGATTTGGCTATACTATTGTAATATAATCCTTTTTTGTGGTCATGTGTAATTACGTTCAATAAATACAGAATTTAACAAAAACAATAAAATTAAAAAATTCATGCATATTTTCCCTAATTTTCATTCCAGTTATCTATTGTTGTTAAAAAAAATATATACTTCTGGACACTAAATATATAAAGACTTTACAGGTTGATTATTTAATACCTGTTATTTGTTGATATATTGTCTTTCAGAACACTACTAAGTTATAAAACTATTATAAAAAATTTTTAAATAAAAAAAATAAAATTGTAAAAAAGAATGGGATTAAAATTTACAAAGCAATCAGACATCGTCTCATATAATTCTTGAATATACTTGGTATAGCAGAAAACGCACTCGGGAGAAAGCTTGCATGGCAAGAAATGCAATAAGCACAAAAAATTGCCGAGAGCATGTGAGAGCTATACGGCTGTGATGAAAAGGAAATGACTAAACGGTGCACATGTTATGTAGCTTGCGCATTAAGTATACAGCGGTCAGTGACAGAGTGAACGTCTACACATCATGTGCTGGTGTAGTTGTATTTTATAACAGATGTTTTTACGCTCGTTGCATTTTAGAACTGCGTCTTTCGGGTTTTAAAAAAAGTGTTTTTGCCTTTTAAAACAATGTCAATTATATTCACGAACAAAAAGTGCACAGTGGGTTGTGGGTGAAAGTATTAATTTGATGCAATCCATGACGATTCTCGAACGCATTTAAACCTACAACGTAAGCTACAAAAACTATTGAAAAATAATAAGTTTTTTTTTCCAACGATTTTTTTTTTATCATGAGAGCATGTACATTGTTCTTGAAAGATAAAGAAAAATAGCAAGAATATTTATTTTTTGTGAGATCTACATCTTTTTTTTTTATCGCAAAATGATGGAGAGTTATTCGTAGTAAGGCGTAACTACAAAAGCTTTTCAGTCAATGAGAAGGCTTAATTGATACCGATGATAAACACGCATTGATGATTAAACCTCAATTCAAGCCACGGATATTTTATTTTTTTTCCAGTGCACAACGATTAAAGATATAAACATATTGATAATAAGATTAATCTAAATAGTCGACCAATAATAGTAATAAAACTGATGAAATAATTATCTTAATGACAGTAATTATCAAACCTTGCCTCGTGGTGCTACCACATTAATTGACAAAAATAAAACTTAGATGATTTATAATGGTGATAGAGATAGCGATCTATCTTTAGAATTTTTTTTTCTTTCTTAAAATATCAGAAGCGATAAAATTTTCACGTATACAATGATGCTACGTAGATATTGAAGCATTTGTGATTTTTTTTTTTTGAAAATCTCAAATGGTTATAGAAAGAAAGTAAACCTTCTAAACGACTTCCAAGGTGACTATAGAACACATGTATAACAGAAGCAGTCGCTCGTGGCTACGAAAAAAAATGCTGAAGAGAAGCGAAGGAATTTTGAAATCCCCCCGTAAGTAAATCAATCTGTCGAGCTGACGTTATGTCGAGAAAAATAAAAAGAGACAACACTGCTAAGCCAAACGTCTGTGTTTACTTCAGTAACGATTTCTATATCATCGGTCCCATCTTCTTCACTCTTCGGGTTCTCGTCCACGAGAGCAGGCGAGGCATACGTTATCTGGAGAGTAGATTCCAACCTCGTAATGTGTGCACGCGCGACACGTTTCTGTGCCGACTTTACTGTGGTGTTTAATTAATAACGATGGTAACAATCAGTTGCAGTTCATTTTGCGGAGCAATTACTTGGCCATCCATTGTTTTTCATAGCAGTAAGTATTTGTATATTTAATAAACAGTTCACAAAAACTTTTAACTATTTTGTCATTTCCTCGTGCTGGTAACTCTTCTTCACTTTTCATGC